CTGAACTGGCAAATCTGTAGTGGCCTAACGTTGATGCAGTAGGAGCTACTTCGAAATGAAATCGCCCTATAGAGATGTGAAAAAACTGACAGAGTCGCAATGCTTCTCACGCCTCCTGTAATGAGCACTAGTTAACGACTGAAATAATTGGCCAACGCAAGGGCTGTCCGTGCGAGGACGCGTTTTTTGCATAGCTCCCCGCAGATTTTTGTCGCTAATGGCACTGGTTTTTCCGGCAAATGCTTCTTCTAGCTAAAAGAACTTCAGACTGGCCGCCAGAACTGTCAGGAAACATCCCTTCAAAATTTCAGTCTTCTGGTTTCTCACGTTCTTGAGTTAGCAACTTACTCGGGAAAAACTTCCATGGGCCCGTAAGTAGGTACCACGCCTACCCGCGACAGTATTTGAACTCGCTAATACCCACTTGGACGGGAAACATCCCCCTAGGATTTCAGCGTTCCAGCTTCTCAGATCCCCGAGTTATGTACTTACCCGAAAAAAATTTTAGCGGGCCCGTACGCGGATACCACGCGGGTGTTGGCCCCATTTTTATGAGGATTGGGGCCGGCACATGCATCTAGATTAAGTTCCCGAAAAAAATTTGGCGGGCCCGTAAGTGGGTAGCACGCGGGTGAAGGTGCCCATTTTGAGGATTGGGGCCGGTACGTGCATGTAGATTAAGTTCCCGAAATTTCAGCCCTGCAGCTTTTGTAGGTCTTGAGATGAAAGTGCGTGACAGACGCACACACAGGCACACAGACAACCCCTCGTCAATATGCGTTTTTGCATTGCATAGTTGCTAAAAATTAAAAACAAGTCTCAGCAATTTTTCACTGCTTACCATAGTACTGTTGTATTGTTCTTTTCTATCTGCCTGGCCCTCATCCTCTCTTTTTTTCTTTGTACTTTAAGCGAATTAGCTTTATACTTATATTGGCTTTATACTTTAAGCGAATTAAACTGGTTAAAAACGAAGCACTGGCACAATTAAAAACGAAGCACAATTCAAATATCACTGCGGTTGTGTTGTGATGACCAGCGCCATACGCTCGTATTCTCATTTCTAAGGACAATGCAAAAACTGTTTATGGAAGTTTCGATTTTTACAGGATATACAAATACCGACTAGCGGTGGCAGAAAATGAACAGGAATG